TGTGTGTATGTGTGTGTGTGTGTGTGCGTGTGTGTGTGTGTGTGTGTGTGTGTATAGAGGTGGGTGGGAGTGGGTATTCTACATTAGGCTCACTCTCCAATAAAAAAAACATTATGGCATGCGCCCATAAAGCAGGGGGTTAGTGGGCAGCGTATGCAGTAAAGAGTGAGTTGCTTTGGGGGGGCTCTCTGATGCTTGAGAAGGAACCCGAATTAATACTTGCTCTGGGACTGAGCACGCTCCTCCAGGGGTGGCTCGTCTGCACCTTGGACCGAAGCATACCCAGAAGAGGCTGTCTCGCTGTGGCTATCCTCCTCACGAGGGGAATAAGACTCTGGTGATCCATTGATGTTAGGGTTAGATCCAGCGGTTTGGAACGACACAGTTCCCGCTTCAACATCAGCCTTCAGAGAGCATGCAAACATTTAAAAAAAAAATTCAGACTTCATGGAGTTGTGTACAAATGACCATCATTATCTTTGCTTTATTCTTCAAATGACATACTTCTAAACACACTATAATCAGCCAGAAAATTGGGTCCGCAGAGGGTAAGAAAGAAGACATAAAATTGGATTGGATGGTAAATTAGCCAAGCCAGCTAGAGAGACAGAAATAGTTAGAACCCTGTCTCAGACCTTTCTGAAAGCTGGGTCTCCACCATACTTGGTTGCCACCACCCGCTCAGGTCACCAGGAAAATGCTACACATTTTTGACTGAACTACATGTTCCCTTAGGGAGGGAAGAGAACAAGTCAGCAGGGATCTTTTTCTTCATGCTTTCAAGATTTTTATATTTGCTCAAAGATAAACAGTCTGAGTCTAATACTCAAGACAGGTAAAGAATAAAAATAGTGTTTTCTTTGCAGCCCAAGTACATTTGCAGCAAATACCTTCGCTTCCTTGGCATGCAAAATGTAAGATTTATTTACCTCAACCCCCAAAGCTTTGAGGATATCACATTTGCACATGGGGCAAGTCCGGTGTTCCAAGAGCCAAGGGTCAATACAGGTCTTGTGGAAAAGATGGCTATGTGATAAAAAGAAATATCTCATCATTCAACTGCCATTTGCCTAAACTCAGAAGCACTGTGCCTCCATCTGTCACTAAACATCCAAACTAGTTATGGATAACATTCTCATTTTCTTTTTTTCAATTAATTTATTTTGATTTATCAACAATCACTTCCATAAGCTTTTGAGTTTTAAATTTTTCTCTCCTTCCCTCCCCAAGACGGTGCACAATCTGATATAGGCTATATATATACATTCCTATTAAACATATTTTCACATTAGTGATGTCGTAAGTAAGAATTAGAACTCATAGGAAGAACCACCAGAAAGAGGAAACAAAACACAACAGAAGAAAAAAAATAGCAAGTAGTATGCTCCGATGTTATCATTTTCTTTGGTGTGTGCTCCCTGCCTGCCATTTTCTCCTTTTATAATGCATGCAATAATGCAATTTGTCACTGCATTATTATCTATGGGAGAGTCCAAGTAAACTCAAGAAATTTCCTCTGAGTTCTACATACGAAAATCTCTTCCCTATAGCTTCATAAGGAGCCGTTCACTCACAACTAAGCAAAAAGGCTAACCCAGGGCTACTGTGTATGAGGTAACTGGGACCAACATTCCCTAGTTGTAAAGTATAGCATCACTAGACCTCTTAGATAATGAAATCCTTAAGGGCCTAAGTTTTTTTTGGCAACTGGACATAGTTGAAGATGGACAGAACATGATTACAAAAACGAGCTAAAATAAACTATCCTCAAAGCTGTCAAGAAATGTAAATCAGGGTCTTTCCTTGATAATGCAAAGTCAGTTCAGTATATATTATATGAATAATAAAAGCTAACATTTATAGAATGGCTAGGTGGCGCCATAGTAGACAGAGTGCTGGGCCTGTAGTCAGGAAGACTTCAGTCCAAATTCTGCCTCCAATACTTACTGGCTGTGTGACCCTGGCCAAGTCACTTCACCTGTCTGCCTCAGTTTCCTCATCTATAAAACGGGAATAATAATAGCACCTCACTCACGGGGTTGTTGTAAGGATTAAATGAGAGAACACTGGTAAAGTAAGTTGCAAACCTTAGAGTGCTATATAAATGCTATTATTATGTTGACTTTTGTGCTTAGAATTTTCTTTCTGTATGCTAGCATATTTTCCCAGGTAGAAGTCAGACTAAATCAAAGGTTCTTAACTAGGGGTCTGTGAACTTTAAAAAAAATCTATATTTTGTGATCCAAGACAATTCCAAAAGACTGATGATGGAAAATGCTGTCCATAGCCAGAGAAAGAACTATGGAGTCTGAATGGAAAATGAAGCCAGTAATACTATTTTCATTTTTTTTTTTGCTTTTTTGTGTGTGTGTGTGTGTGTGTGGTTTTTCCCTTTTGTTCTGTTTCTTCTTTCAAATGTGGAAATATGTTTAACATGATTGCACATGTATAACCTATATCAGATTTGCTGTCTAGGGGAGGGAGAAAAATTTGGAACTCAAAATCTTATAAAAAATGAATGCTGAAAACTATCTTTACATGTAATTGGAAAAAATAAAATACTATTTACAAATATGTATATATATACACACATATATAATGATATTTCAATATATTTAGTTTTCTTTTTAATTCTCTGTATCTTATGCATTTAAAATCATCATTTTGATAAGTGACCCATAGGCTTCCCCTAGGCTGCCAAAGAAAGGTTAAGAACCCCTGGGTTAAAGGAATATAAAAAAAAATGACAGAATTGTAATGGAGGAGGGGTGCAAACTAGCCAGAGACTCTGATTTCTACTTTTTCCACATGGCAGTCTTAGATGAATGAAACCACATAAAAGTGATAACATGAATATAGTAGCATTAAAAAATTTAAAATATTTACATTTAAAGAATAATAGAGAAACAAAATGTTTTTAATCTTTCTATTTCTTGGAAACCTTGATAAAATAATTTTCCCCCCAATTCCAACTATTCTTTTTTTTAAAAAATCCATTTGTTGTGTTTTATTTAAAAAATATCTTTTACTGATGCCTTTTTTCTTTATATCACAAACATTTGGGTGGGTGAATAAGGACCAAATCCTCACCTTCCTCCAGATTGAACCCTCCCTTATAACAAAGAAAAATAAGTAAGCCCTACCACACTTGCCTATGTAGCTACCATTCTGCCCTGCTAGTGCCCCGCCTCTCTGCCATAAGGAGGCAAACTTCTGTCTGATTCTCTGCCAAGCTTTTACTGACCTTTTGATTCTTTGGAGTTCAACTTCCTTTTAGTGATCTTTTCATATACATTACTGTAGTCATTGTGTATACTGTTATAATTCTGCTTACTTCACTATGCATTGGCTTGCCCAACCTCATCCCATGAATCTGAATTTCTCATCTTACTGCATAAAAATATTCCATTCCATTCGTATACCACGGGTTTGCTTGGTTTTTCCCCAGTAATTCTCCAACTGATGGGCACTCACTTCGATTCTAGTTTCTGTTAACTAGTATGCTGCTCTGGTAGTGTGTATGTATAATTACCTTCCCCTCCCTCCTCTGCCTTGAGTATATGTACAGTTCAAGAATCATTATCCAGGATACAAAAGAAAATCAAACCTACTTGCATGTTAATATGCGCACGATGTCATTTGGTCTAAATATTTCAATGCACACGGCACAGCTGTCTCCATCAGGTCCAGTTTCCTAGAGGAATCGTATAGACATTCATTATCTTTTTTAAAAAATTCTTTTAAAAATCATCACTATCATTTCCTAAATCCACTCCTCCCCCAAAACCCAAAAGAAAAATGACACAGTGACTATGTTATGTCCTTGGAGTCTCCCACCTCTCCACCCAGAAAGAAGACTGTTTCATCATCAGTCCTTGGCCACCAATAGGGGTCAGCGATCACATTGATCTGAATTCTGATGTCTCTGTTGTTTTTCTCTCCATTATTATGGTTACTGTGCCTATTGTTCTCTGGGTTTTGCTTACTTTATTCTGCATTAATTCAAACAAAGCTTCCCAAATTTCTTTGAATTCTTCACATTTGTCATTTCTTACAACACAAATACCAGAGTTTGTTAATTCATTTCCGAAATGATGAATATCCACTTTGTTTTGTATTTGTGACTTGTTTTTGTTTTTTTGGAGGCAATTGGGGTTAAGTGATTTGCCCAGGGTCCCACAGCTAGTAACCATTGGAGGCCAAATTTGAACTCAGGGCCTCCTGACTCCAGGGCCACTGTTCTATCCACTGCACTGCCCCTTTCCCTCTGTTTCTGACCTCCTTTGGGTGTAGGATCCAGTAGTGTATGAACAATTTAGTCACTTCCTTATCACAGTTCCAAATTGTTTTTTATTGTTTTTCTTATTATTAGTGATTTGTAGCATTTTTTCATATGGTGGCTGGTAGTTCGCATTTCTTCTGCCCTAAACTGTTTATCTCCTTTGATGACTACTGGGGAATTGATGGTGGCCTTATATATTTGAATCAATTTCCTATATATCTTGATAGTGGATTTTTATTAGAGGTTTGATGCAAAGAGGTTTTCCCAATAGATGTAATGATTTTGTTTTTGTACTAGCTTTTTTGGATATGGAATAAAAATCATCTATTTTTCTTTTATGATCACCTATATATCCCTTGCTTGGTTAATAATTTCTCCCTAACCAGAGTTTTGAAAGATATCTTTTAATGTTTTTTTTTATGATGTGACCTTTGATGCTTAGGTCACACATCTATTTAGAGCATTTTAGGATATATTCTGTGAGATGCCGACTGGACCTAATTTTTGGATAAACTGCTTTCCTGATTTCCTGGGAGTCCTTTCCCAAGTAAGCTACTTGTATTCTTGGGTTTACTGGACCTTGGATTAGTGTGCTTGACAGCTTCTGGGTCTTGTTTGTCGATCCTATCTACCGATCTGCATTTGTATTTTTTAATCAGTATCAAGGTCAGGTTGTGCCAAACCCTCTTCAATTCCTACTTTTTCCCATTTTTCTTCCTTAAGAATGTGGACCTTTTGTTTCTTCAAATGAATTTTTATTATTTTCTCAAGCTCTCTGATATTTATTACTAGGACTTTGATTTTTAAAAATCCATCAAATTATATGGTAAAGTCAGAATATAACCTGTATAGCAGACACAACTTCTTCTGGGAATGGGAAACACGATAGAAGAAAGTATCACCGAGGGACTATCTAATTTACAAGTTCCAACTAGACTGGTAAATTTTCTTCTTTTTTTCCTTTTAATTTCATTTCTAAATTCTTTCCCTCCCTCCATCCCTTCCCCCACCCAGTGAGAAGGCAAGAAATATGATACCCATTATACACATAGACCAGTAAATTTTCAAAAAGCATGACCATTTGGCCAACTGAAGAGGTAACAATCACAGCAACATTTGGCACTGATTTTAAAACTTCCCTTGATATTTCAGTATGAGTTGTAATCCACAAAATACCCTTTTATAGAAATTCTACTCAAATTTCTAATGGGGAACTTTTTCGTTAATCGGTCCTAGCTTAGGACAAGCTATTCTACTTCCTGAAAAGTTGTCATCCAATTCTCACTACTCAGACATCAAGGAGATGAAGACATACTTTTGTTTTGGAGTTCATAGCTATGATTTCAATGGGTGGAGGGAACTCCTGGTGTGGAAACTCCCTCTACCAATAAAGACCCATGACTTAGAGAGTAGCCAGATGCACTGAGAGGTTAAGTGATTCTCCCATGGTCATATAACTAGTACATACAAGGGTCAGGCCTCAAACCCAGGTCTTCCTAACTTAAGGCTGGCTGCCCTCTGTCTAGTACTCTAGGTGGCCTCTCAGGAAACATTTTGGACTTACAGAAGTCAATGTCTAGTATGCTTTGGTGGAAAATGTAACTTGTAAGGGGCAGCTAGGTGGTGAAGTGGATAGAGCTCTGGCCCTGGAGTGAGGAGGATCTGAATTCAAATCTGACCTCAGATACTTGACACTTACTAGCTGTGTGACCTTGGGCAAGTCACTTTACCCTGATTGCCTCAAAAAAAAAAAAGTAACTTGCTTCAGGGTCTGGATAGTGGTGTTTTAAACAGCAATTCAAAGCATTTCAAGTACCTTGTCTCCGTGTTTCAGAGCCCGTAGCTGAAGCTTCCCAATAGCTCTTTTAGCATCCGCTTTCAGTTGTCTCTGTCGTAAAACATATAAACAAAAATGAGGAAAACAGTATTTTTTTTTACAGAAATGAGATATAAAAGGAATGACAAATATCAGTAAAGTCACATTAAAGACAGTAATGTTTTTTCTTAGGTAAAAGATCTCAGTTAGCCATAGAAAGGTTTCATTTATATCCAGTACCTTTGGAAAGTGATATTGTTGAATCCAGTAAATTTCCAAGCTAAATAAAAGACTAAAATTTATATTTTTTTCTTTTCCTTTTTTTTGGGGGGGGGGGATTTTTTGTTGTGGAAAGACTCCCTCCACTGACACAGATAACCAAGTCTATAGTCTAAGAGATGTGTCTTAAAGCATTCTGAGGCTAAGTTCAGGGTCACACAATCTGTATGTGTCATAGGCAAGACTTGAATTCATACCTTCCTGACTCTAAGGCCAGCCACTACACCACTGTGCATCTTACTTAAATACCAACTGCAAAAGGTGTTGGGTTTTTTTTTTAACCTTTTGGATGGAAATCTTTTAGAAACAGGCTTCCCTGTTTTAAAATATGGCAGCTATTTTTCAAGATTTTGAGTTTCAGCTACCATATTTTAAAAGAGGGAAGCATTTTTCTGTTTTAAAATACAGTAGCCAAAGTCAAAATGTTTAAAAATGAATTTTAAAAAATGTTTGTACTTGTAATTGGGAAAAAGCAAAATACTGAATTTAAAAAAAGAAAAAAAAATGGTAGCTGGAGCTGGAGGGGCATTTGGGGAAAGAGGTCCCTAACCTCTACTCAGTGGTGGCTTTCCTGACTTTCCCTAGTCATGTGGGAAACCAGTACTTTCCCTATATATCTGGCATCATTCCAACCTTACAAAGACTTTGAAGAATTTCAGTATGCCAACATGGTAGTTGCTCAAATTTGCCACCTTAAATGTGGAAGTTAGCAAATAAAACGAATTTTAGTATCCTTGAGCTAAAGTTATTTACCACAGAATCAACCTTTGAGACATCTCACTGGGCAGGTTTCAGTAAAACAGTACTAAAACAGTATTTCTTTAAGGTTTTCTATGTTACATGAGACTTGACTGCCTTTTGACACAAAGACAAAGTTCAAACCCAGATGTTACTCCCTGTAAAGTCTTCATACATGATTAATTGTCCATGTAATTCACTGAGCTGTAACAGAGTTAAATTTAAATGGGGTTACAAAGAAGAGACTTTAATAACCCGGTGACAAGAAATACCCCCATTTCCAAGTGAGACAAATGTGACAGCAAATATGAAGCATTCCACTGCATGTAGAACACTATGCTTTGTGTTTGGGGAGACGTAAAAGAGACATAAAATATGGTTTGTTTATTTAAAGAGTTTAATGAGTCTTAGGGAGAAAAGGCACCAACAGAGAGAGCTATGATGCCAGATATTAAATGTTAAATCCATTACTGAGTTATATAATCAAGTTCTATGGGTGATCTGATGGAAGGGGAAGCTTATGCTTTCAGGCTCTCTAATTGCCAGCCAAACTGAACTACTTGCTACCCGCCTTGTGTAATGTGCATCTCCCACCTCTGTGCTTTTGTACCGGCTGTCCCCCCTGCCTGGAATGCACTTGCTTTTCTTCCATCTCTTAGAATCCCGGGCTTCCTTCGATGCGTGGCTCAAGTACTCTGGAGGAGAGAGTGAGGTGATGACTTTTCCCAGCTCTGCCTCACTTAAATCCAATTCACACACAAGTCAAGACATCACCCCATGATGTCATTCATACTCTTTGAGAACAAAGGATGAACAAGAAGAAGCACTATTTCCTATTATCTTCCTACTATCAGGACTATCTTTATCTCCCATGGTTTTGGGGCTCTCCTCTTGGATAATCACTTTGTATATATTTCATATTTACCTATGAACCTCTTGTTTTCTACTTACTTGAGGTCAGGGACTTGTTTTTTGACTTTGCATCTCAGTGAGTAGCATAGGTTTGGGCACAGCGTAGGTACTTAATAAATATTTGGGGAATGAATCAGAATGAATGAAAGACCATCACCAACTAGGGAGAGGGAATCAGGACCAAAATCCACTTCCCCTTTGTTCTTAAAGCTTAAGCTGCAAAGCTAAAGGGACTTGACTGTGGCACAAAAAAAAAAAAAAAGACATTAGGCTCAGGGCAGTCAGAAGACCTAGTTTCTGTGGCAATTTTATTTTTAAAAATTTTTTTAAATTTTTAATTTTTTTTCCTGTGGCAATTTTAGCCACTAACTTGTGACCTTGGGCAAGTTCTTTGGGTCTTATTTCCCTTACTTGGCCAACTGTAGATGATCTCTAAGGTCCTTCATGCTCTATAACTGTATGACTCAGTGACTTACTTCATCGAGAGCCAACGTAATAGATTTCTCCTTACGTGCCCTCTCTAGTCTCCTGAGCCTCTTGGATGCAGTTACGTGGCGGCAAACATCAATCTTCAGATTAGGTCCATGAAGACAAAAAAGAACATGAATTTTTCCAATTACCTGAACATCTGCCTTAGTGAGTTTTAAATCGTTTTACTTAGATGCCAGGAACCCAATTGAAGAACTTAGTCATACAAGGTAGCGTGGGACCATAGCCTAACAAATATAATTTCCATCAGTGAAAATTCTTTGCATTTTTGTTAGGTTTTCATTAGAAATTTGGAACAAACACTGGCAATTGTAAACAGGAGAAAAATGAACACAATCCGCATGTATATCCCTTTTGGACTTCAATTCTCATATGATGTGCCCCAAGAGATATAGGGCAGCATCAAGGTTACCAAGTTTAAGTGACATTCAGGTAACCATCCTCCTTCCTGCTGTTTTTCTTCCTCAAATGCCACAGAACAGAAGAGGAAAATCACAGGAGTAACAGAAGCATTTGAAGCTAGGCATCAGAATTATGTTATATATTGGGGGGGGCATTCCTGCCTAGCACAAACAAGAATAAAAGTATTTCTAGCCCTAACTGCACTTTCAATTATAAATATGCTACATTTAGTGAAACTAGACTGTCACATACAGGATGGCCCAAAAGTCTTAAGGTTTGATAGGTATAATAGCTTAAGACTGCACTAAGACTTTTGGGACATGCTATATGCAAATATGTAACTCAGTTTTTACATCTAATTTAAATAACATGGAAGAAGGATAGTAGAATACAGAGTGCTGGACCTGACATCCAGAGAGGCCTGTTTGTCTCCCCTTTGACGATGAGTGACCAGAGGCAAGTCATCTAACTTAAACTTAATGGCCAGTATTTCTATAACATACTTTACATTCGATTCTTACAACCACCCTGGGAGGTATGTACCATTATTATCCTCATTTTACATGAGTAAGATGAGGCTAAGAACAGCTATGTAAATTTGCCCAGGGTTGTACAGCCTGTGTATGTATGTATGTATGTATGTATGTATGTATGTATGTATGCCAGAAGGAGGCTCTGAACTCCTGACTCCAATCCAGTGCTCTATCCACTTCACCACAAAAGGGTATAATAATATCAGTAGAACCTATTTCATAGTGTAATGAAAATCACATGAGAAAATGAGTATTAAAGTGCTCTTATAAACTTTTTAAAAACACTATGCGCATACATGTTAGCTAATAATTCTATTTACTTATTTATTTTTCTACTATTTTATTTATTTATTATTTATTTTTTAATTTTTGGCTAATAATTTTTAAAGAGGGTCTCATGTTATTCTTGTGGAAATGATGGAACTTTTTTTTTTGGCAAGGCAATGAGGTGAAGTGACTTGCCCAGAGCCACACAACTAGTAAGTGTCAAGTGTCCGAGGCCAGATTTGAACTCAAGTCTTCCTGAATCCAGGGCCAGTGCTAGGGTGGGACTTTCGATGTGGGCTAGGTGAACTTAAAATCAGTTGAGTAGTTGGACCTGAAGAATAGTCATTAATGATTTGGTTTCCAATTGGAAAGAGGCCTTTAGTAAAGGGACCCAAGGATCTGTGCTTAGTCCTGTGCTATTCAATATTTTTGTGTATGGCTGAGATGAAGGCACAATTATTAGTGGATCAGCAAGCATTTTTTTAAAGACTTTCCAGGTGTTAAGCCCAAACAATGCAAAGACAGGAGGGATAGCTGATATGTCAGAGGAAGAACAAAAAAATCTCCAAAGGCTAGAGCAGGGGTCATTAAATGATGGCCAAAGGCGAAAAATCTAGCCTCTTGCCAGTTTCTGTACAGCTCATGAGCTAAGAAGGATTTTTTTTTTTGGCTTTTTGGTGAGGCCATCGGGGTTAAGTGACTTGCCCAAGGTCACACAGCTAGTAAGTGTCAAGTGTCTGAGGCTGGATTTGAACTCAGGTCTTCCTGACTCCAAAGTTGGAGCTCTCTTCACTGCACCACCTAACTGCCCCCACTAAGAAGGATTTTGACATTTTTAGATACAATAAAATCTTATTTAAAAATATTAAAAAAATTTTTTCTTAGCTTACCAGCCCCCTGGGCTAGAGTGTTGGGTCAAAGTGAGTAGGATGAACTTCCATAAGGATTCAATAGGAAGTTTGTGCTTGAGTGCAAAAAAACTGACTTCCTAAGTTGTACCAGCATAAGATGTGAGAGGCATGGCTAGGCAACAAACAGATCATTTGAAAAGATGAGCTCAATGAGTCGAGACAGTGATGTAGTGCCTGGCACGTGGTAATAAAGAATAACAAATGCATGTTCGTCTACTGATCACTGTGGTGTCTCCATGATTTCACTGGTGTGGCAGAGATCATAATCCATCAATACTTTCTCATCCCAGACAAGTCTTGCCATGTCTTCCCACAAATCTTCCACAGGGGATCCACTTGACATGCTGGGGTCCTTTGTCAAAATTTCAACCTGGGATAGATACCAATCAAGCATTGTAGGCTGTCCATTGGTTATCCCTTGCTCTCACATGACTGGGCCACCTGTTCTTTCAGTTGTACTTTGTTCTCTTAATATCTTATCACCACTTCTCCTACACCAGGGGTGGGGAATCTGCGGCCTCAAGGCCACATGTGGCCCTCT